AGGGGGGAAGGCGGATGGAAGATGGATAAAAAGGAGAAGATAGGTGGAGAGGAGACAGACAGGTCAAAGAGGCAGGATGGAGCCAGTGAAGGTGGGAGTTAGGGAGGAGATAGGTCAGCCCAGGGAGGACGGACAGGTCAAGGGGGCGGGATGAGGTTAGTAGGTAGGAGATGGGATAGGTGGGAGGAAGGACGGGTTAGGGAGGCGGGGACGAGCTGGGCTGGTTTTGGGATACGGTCGTGGGAGCGGAGATTTTGAAGCTTGTGAAGTCCACATTGATACCATTGGGCTGTAGGGTTCCCAAGCAGAATACGAGTTGCTGTTCCTGCTACCTTCGGGTGGCATCGTTGTGGCACTGCAGGAGGCCCAGGATGGACATATCGTCTGAGGAGTGGGGTGGGGTGGGGTGGAGTTGAAATGGTTCGCGACTGGGAGGTGCAGTCGTTTAGCGTGAACCGAGCATAGCCCTACTCGAAGGTTGCAGGAACAGTACCTCATATTTCGCATGGGAAACCTGCAGCCCAATGGTATCAAAATCTCCCCTCCCCCAACCACATCCCAAAACCAGCCCAGCTCGTCCCCGCCTCCCTAACCTGTCCTTCCGACCACCTATCCACTCTTCCCACCTCCTACCTACTAAACCTCATCCCGCCCCCTTGACCTGTCCGTCCTCCCTGGACTGACCTTTCCCCTCCCTAACTCCCCACCTACAAAGAAATTAGTCAGGTTTTTTCCTAAGACAGTTTCTCTATATCATGAGAGAACACAGCATGGAGCTAGAGGAACACAGCAGGACAGGCAGCATTGGAGGAGCAGGAAAGTTGACGTTTGGGGTCCTTGTGCCTGGCCTGCTGTGTTTCTCCAGCTCCACACTGTATTATCTCTGACTCCAGCATCAGCAGTTCTTACTATCTGAGTTGTTATATCAAGAATATAGTTATCAGCTGAAAAAGCTGAACATGAACAGAAGGAACTAGAGAAATTCCACAATTTATCACAAATTTGAATTGGGGATGGTAGACCACAAGTAGCAGGGAGGTGTGCTGATGCTGGTAGTGCTCCTCCAGTGCAGATGCAACATTTGATCTAACTATTAGCATGTTAATTGGTTACGAGTGTTCACTAATGAAGAGAGACTAGATATCCTGGGTTCATTTTCTTTGGAGCAGAGGCAGCTGAAGACAGAGTTGGAGGTGGGGGATTTGATTGAGGTATACAAAATTATGAGGGGCATAGAAAGAATAGATGATGAGAATCTTTTCCTGATGGAGGGGGTTGGACGTGTCCAAACCAGAGCACATAAGTTAGAGAGGCACAAGTGATTTAGAGGAGATCTGAGAAAAATTATTTTCACCCAGAGATTGGTATAATTATGGAATGTGCTGCCGAGAGGGTGATGCAGACAGGTACCCAACATTTAAGCAGCATTTGGACAAGCTCTTAAAATGCCAGGGTTCAGTAGGCTACGGACCAAGTGCAGGTAAATGGGATTAGTGTAGTTTGGCGTTTGTTGGTCAGCGTAGACATGGTGGGCCAAAGGGCCTGTTTCTGTGCTGTATGACTCTATGGCCTATGACTGGCTACTAAACACATCTTCAGTTCGCTGCATCAAGGTATTGTGGCACCGTAGTAGTGTCACTACCTCTCAGTCAGAGGTAGAGGCACTATTATCAGGGCCCACGTACCCTGGAGGTGTATCACAACACAAACAATTTGATCAAAGATCATTTAAAAATTTGCCCCATTAATTATACCCAAGGAACTGACTTTGGTTAGATGTCAACGTTTTGGACAATGCACTTGAACGTCAATAGACAATATTTGCCAATTTTGATAAATAAGACCCATGATAAAAAAAAACAGCTTCCATAGCAACTGTACAACGTTCAAGATGATTCAGTTGCGACTTACCAAACATCCGCTGATGGAACAAAAACTTTCCTGCAACAAGGCCCGTCATAATACCTAGCAACCACAGTAGCACTTTTAAGCAGCTCCATCCTCCTCCAGGATACTTGTTTACTATGAAAGAGAAGCAGTTTCCAACAACAATTACATTGGCGGGAGTCTGGCTGTGAGAAATAGGATCTTCAGCAAAAATGAGGAAGTTGAAGAAAGTCACCAAATAGGCCACAATCAGCCGACTCCATGGATGCTGGAAATAGTAACGAAATGCTTTGACCATCCTCATACATATGGGACGACCCCTCAACCTGCAATCTGTATTAAAAAGAGAAATTAATTAGTGATTCAGTAAGTTGTATATGAAAATACAATGATTGGACATTTACTTGCTCAATCAGGTTGCATCATTGTGCAAAGTTAAGTTTCATTGTGAACAATAACTCAGATGACCAGTTGGGACAAAATTCTAGATGTTAGTTGCTTGTTCCTCTGGTTCAGCAATCAGCTCAGTAGTGACTATATTTCAAACAACTGTTTTTCTTTAATGTGTGTTTTATGCCAATTAATGTGCATATAATGGCTGAAGGAGGCAAGATGACCATAAAATACCTTATTAATATTTTGCAGAAAACAAAAGGAAAGAAAGAGAACTCTTCCAGGCTATAACAATAACTACTTGCCATGATTTACTGTAAATCATCTCTTTGGGTGGAAATGCCAGTCATTTCCATGTCAAAGGACTTGGCCCTTTTTGATCACCTACGTTCCACATGAAATCTTACTATTTATTTAAATACTATTCACTATCTAAGCAATCCCTCAGCAGAATGCAGTCGCCAAGATATTTCTCTCAGCAAATGTCTTGGTATTTACAATGAAAAGGGTAATTGTGGGGTTAAAAATCACATACCTACAATGACGTGGAGTACATGCCAGGTTTAATACCAACCTTACCGTCTACTCTTTGCTCAAGTTACAGCCTACCCTTTACAGAAGTTAGTTTCTGGACTACCAGTGGTTTTCTGATGTCACTATACAGTCTGATTGAGATTGTACTTTAAAGCAAAAGAAAAGTGTGGCCTGCAACATGTGATTTGGGGCAGGAGTTTATATCCGCTTCCCTTCAACATTGGGAGGATGTAATAAATAGTGTTGAGCATTGCCTCATCAGCATGACTAGGAAGGAGTCTTGGAAAACACACCAACGCAACCAGTGAGACCAGAAAGCAGCTGAGCCAGTTTTACAAGTAATAATTCCAAAAGGTAAAAACTGCACAACAATGTGTTAAACCCACAAATGGAATGCAAGCTTTCAAAATTAAAAATAGAAATCAATTTTACAGTAAGTTAAACAGTATTACCAGCACAAGCCATTCCGACGTCAGGTTATTCTGGAAAGAGCTGCTAACTCTCACTAGCCACAGCGCACAAAAATAAATAAGGAGGTTATCCGATATATATTTGTGTAGCGTAAATATAGAGGCTGTCCTGCACTTCCGCTCAAATCAAACACTAAGTTAAACTATGTCAATGGCTTATTTAAAGCTAAATAAAGCCAGTGTTTCAAACAAAAAGAAATCACAAAACTATTCAATTTGTGATTTCAAGAAATTGGACTACTGCCTACAATTCATCCCTGTCGAAGCGAAATAAAGTTTATATCACGTATCATTTTACATTGAGTGTATTTCTATCCATGAGATATTAATTACACCAGCTAGACAGACTCTAACTTCAAAGTTTATATCACGTATCAAACATAACTGCAAGGGCCATTGGCGTTTTCTTTTAATGAAGTGTATTGGTGTCACATGAAAATAATCTCACGATTCATGATTCCAGCCTCCAATGATAAAGGAAAATAGTTATAATTTCTTGTTTGACCGAGCTACCCCAGCAGCTCAATTAGTTAATCTACAGCCTGGTAGGATCTGAACCTTCTGAATTTCATAGCTGAATAAGCACTAATTTAAAAAGTTTGAATTACAATACAAGAATAATGGCTTTAAGCAGCAAGCCTATCATTCAAATAATTTCAAACATCATAAAAATAACATACAGCACTGAAGATATTAATGACCAAGATTTCTATCACTTAATACAAGTACTGAATGACTATGACCCTACTGAATCATTATAACTTACTTCCTCCTCTGGTGCATTCCACCAATGCTTACATGGTTAATTTTCATGCATGAGTCTATTCGTCATGTCATTCTTCACTAAGGGGATGTTATAATTATGTCCAATCTTGTCCTATTACAATGTAATTTTGTTTTAGACAGGGAAGATAGTAACATAGTAGCAAAGCTTGGACTGGAAAGAAGCAGAACTGATGTGACTACATGTGATAACAGGTTTGGAATGGAGCCAAGTGTGACACCAAATGGCAAAATTTGACATCGGTGTTGAGTTTAAAAAAAGGGTAACAGAAGCAAAACTAGAGATTTTGACTCATTTACTGATAATAAATTAACTAATTATTATTGTAGCTACTGTTTTGGGAAACTTGAGCAAAATTAAGTTGTAATTCTTCATGAACATTTTGGGACTTCTTAAAGAGACAACTAGTGACACATTAAGTCTCAATCACTTGAGCAAATGACCAAAAAAAACTCTCATCTCAAAAAAAAAACACTAGCCCATACCCTTCTAAAATACTTTAAAATTTCTATATATTACTTACAAATATACCGCAGAACGCTGATTAAACTTTGCAATGTGTTAATGTTGAAGCGTGACAGTTATCCCACTACACAATTAGCAGCTGAGCTCTACTAACCAAAAAGGTCTGGAGCTCAATCCCTGCCTTGTGCTGATTTAGTTCACATCTGGAGCAACTGGTTGGTTTAGGGAATTGAATTGTAAGGTGCTAGGTAAGTAGACCAAAAATCCTAAACCAGCGCCATCTACTGACAATACACATGGAACACGATAAGCTCCACCAAGCAATCGTAAGATTATGTAATACAGTGCACGGGCATTTGAGAAGTGTCAAAACCTTAAGATCTTGATTATCTTCTGTACAGATGGTTTGGATCATCTATAGATTGAAATTGAGAAATGGTTTGGATCCAATTCAATTAACATGCTTAAGCTACATCAACACACGAGCAACTTCCCTCAAGCTATCTGCTACATGTATTCATTAATATGCATCGTAATTAAGCATTGATGGTTTACTGGGCTGATGATAGATTACTATTATTCATTTATATAATCAGTTTTAATTCAACATCTGCTGCATTAATTGGGTTTTCTACTTTTAATCTCTTCTAAATAATTGTCTATGTTTGAAAAATGTGACATGCTCCTATGAGGATTTCTGTCTGGTGGGGGAAGAGCTGAGAGGAACAATATCAGTCTTATTCTGACAATGTAAAGCAAGTGTTGAAGCAAACACCTCAGATGATCATGAGTTTAAAATCAGCTTGCCACAGTTTTGAGGTGAATTGGAGCCCACATCTGTTTCCCCACAATATAATTTGTCACGAATCACAGACTAGTACTAACAGAAAGTCATATCTTAATACTTTTTTGAGTGATAAGCTTTTGCAAGGTAAAGCTAACTATTTTCTTTTTACTTTTTTTTTTGAAAAGGCAGTAGGTGATGCTAGTCTGTTTAATTATTCCAAACAATCAATTTTTTAAAAAAGTGTCATATGTTAACTGTGTTTAAGCTTAACACTGACTGATGTCTGTTTATGTTCAGTCAGTTAACTAAAGTCTGAATAGGCTAAATGTTGTTGTCTTCCTGCATCACAACAGTGTTATTTTCCATTGTACTTTTACAATGTTTTAGAACCCTTTTTTTTTTTTGGTAGAATGGAAGTATCATAGAGAGAGAGACTGATAAAACTATCAATTTTGGGGGGGAAATAGGTAGAATAAATCAATTAGAACTACAGATGCTGTAGACAGAGATCAGTGTGGAGCTGGAGGAACACAGCAGGCCAAGCAGCATCAGAGGAGCAGGAAAGTTGACATTTCAGGTTGGGACCCTTCTTCAGAAAATTTTCTGAAGTCCACACTGTTAGAAAAAAGCAATTTTCCACTTTTTTTTTCCCCCTCCAATTAAAATTACTTTCAGTTGAAGTCTGTAAGAAACAGGACAAGAGAAGAGACAGAAACAGAGAAAGAAATAAATCAATCTTTGTTGTGATTTTTTTTTTTTTAAGAAAAGTGGCAACTTTTTTAAATCCAAAAATACTGCCATACCAAAAGAAGAAATTTTGTACATGTAAGGAAATGTCTACCTTGTTCTAACTTTACAGGAATCTTAGAATAAAAATTGAAAGTACCTTTTGTAACAAAGATAAGGAGAGAATGAAGGAGCTTGATGTAAGAGGGTCTCTAGCATCTTGACTCCCACCCTTGGGAAGCTAATGGTGGTGATGGGGAAGGGAAGTAGATGCAGGCCGAGAGCTATTCAGAGACAGTATTACAAAGATTCAGGGGCTGAACATCTTGCTCAAAAAAAAGGGTTCAAGAGATCAGGTTTTATGGGAACGTGAAGACTTGGAGTTTGGGGAATGTACTGGGACTGAGGTGATCATTCGCACAGGGGGCTGTTAAGGGCCCTACGGCCCCATTGTTGGCTCTATTTCCCACCATGTTTCTATACCCACTAAATGCAGTGGTATCTAGTAAAATGACTAAAAAGGTGCAGTTAGAGTTCTTGAAACTTCAGGTTAATCACATCTTGTCAGGGTTTGCTAACACTTCTGTAACATTAACATTTAAATCAAAACACTAAACTTTTGCATTAGTTTGGTCCAATTTTGTGCATTTAAAAAGTCCTACTTAACTGCAACATTTAAAAAACACAATTGTTTTTCTTAATATACATTTTCTCCATTTGTGCTGCTTCTATTATCCACACTATTTGTTTTGGCCATTTGCCACACCTGCGCTTCAGGCCACTTTACAGAAACCTTGCGTCACTTCACAGAATTCTTACAGCGTAGAAGAAGGCTATTCAGCCCACCATATCTGCACTAACTCTCTAAATGTGTTAATTTAGTGCCAATCTCCTGCCTTTTCATCCCTATTTAACTAATTATCCAATGTCCCTCTTGAAAGCCTCAATTGAACCTGCTTCCACCACACTTCCAAGCACGATGAAGAAGATTGTCTCATCTTCCATTTGCTTCTTTTGCAAAACACTTTAAGATCGTGAACTCTGATTCTCAATCCTGTTACAACCAGTAAATGTTTCTGCCAGTCTCCTTCAAACTATCAAAAATCCTCTTGGGCTTCTCTGCTAGGAAAACAATCACAGCCCCTCCATTCTATCTTGATAACTGAAATAACTCATCCATAGTACCTCTCATACCCCTTCAGTTATCTTTCTGATGCACTCACGTTCTTTGCATAATATAGCTCCCAGAACTGTACATAATATTCCAGTTAAGATTTAACTAATATCCTACATAAGTTCAACATCACTTCCTTGCTCTTGTATTCTATGCCCCAATTAATGAAGCCTAGAATATTGTATGCTTTATTCAGAGTTTTCTCTACCCATCCTCCCACTTTTCTGGACTTGGGTTCATATACATCCAGTTCTCTCTGTTCCTGCCTTCCATGTGGAGTAAACACCCTTTATTTTGTAATGTCTCTTCATGTTCTTTGTACAAAAGTGTATAAAATCACACTTCTCCACATTGAAGTTCGTTTGCCACTAATTGACTACCCCACCAACTTGTTAATGTCCTTTTGAAGTTCCACACTGTCATCCTCTCAACTTATAATTCACCCAAGTTCTGTATCATCCACAAGCTTTGGAATTGTTCATTGTACACCAAGATTATCTAGATTATTAATATACAGCAAACTAATGACTCCTGGAGAATTCCACCACAAGTTTTCTTCCATCCTGAAAAATACTCATTTATCATTGCTTTCTGTTTCCTGTTCTTCGACCAGTTTTGTATCCACATTGCTACAGTCCCTTTACTTCACTGACTTATAATTTACCTCAAATCTGTTGTGTGGCACTGAATTTAACACCTTTAAGAAGTTCACATTCACCATATCAAGAGCCTTCCCCTCAACAACTCTGTTATCTCTTCAAACAACTCCAGCAAGTTAGTGAGCATAATTTTCCCTTAAATCCTTCTGACTCTTTGAATTTTCCCATGTGACTATTAATTCGATCTTGTACAACTGCTTTTCGAAGTTATCCCACCACTGAAGTTAAACTAATTGGTCTGTAATTGTTGGGCCCGTCTTTAAAGCCTTTTTTGATAGGCTGTAATGTTTGCAATTTTCCAGTCCTCCAGCACCACTTCCCTCTTGAAGGATGTTGAAATATTATTGACAGAGAAGACAATTTTGAATATTCATCATTGTCAGCATTGTTCAATCTTTAAAGATCACGGACATGCAGCAAATCAAATCAATTTGAGGATGGGTAGCTTCATATGGTGCACCAAAGGGAGGGAATTCCAGGATTTTGATCCAGCAACAGTGAAGGAACGGTAATATATTTCCAAGTCAGGATGGTGAGTGGCTTGGAGGGGAACTTGAAGGTGGTGGTGTTCCCATATGTCTGCTGCCCTTGTCCTTCTAGATGGAAGTGGTTGTGGGTTTGGAAGGTGCTGTCTGAGGATCTTTGGTGAATTTCTGCAGAGCATCTTGTAGATAGTACACACTGCTGCTACTGAGCATCGGTGGTGGAGGGAGTGGATGCTTGTGGATGGGGTGCCAATCAAGCAGGGGCAGCTTTGTCCTGGATGGTGTCAAACTTCTGGAGTGTTGTTGGGGCTGCACTCATCCAGGCAAGTGGGGAGTATTCCATCACACTCCCGACTTGTGCCTTGTAGATGGTGGAAAGGCTTTGAGAAGTCAGGAGATGAGTTACTCGTTGCAGTATTCCAAGCTTCTGGCTGCTCTTGTAGCCACTGTGTTTGTGTAGTGAGTCCAGTTGAGTCTGTGGTCAATGATAACATCCAGGATGTTGATAGTGGGGGATTCAGTGATGGTAACACCACTGAATGTCAAGGGACGGTGGTTAGATTGTCTGTTATTGGTGATGGTCATAGCCTGGCATTTGTATGGCGCGAATGTCACTTGCCACTTGTCAGTCCAATATGCTCAGTCGCATTTTGCCAGAATGTCTCTGAACTTCACACAAGCTATCATAAACCAACACTTCATGTTCCTCAATATCACTGAGCGAGTTGCTGAATTCCACATGATCCATCATACTTCTGGCTTCACGCAACTACCATCCATGAAATATTTTCTGAGGCTGCCCTCTGATAAATTGGTTTGGCCACCTGTGTGCAGCCACTTGATATCTCTTTTGAGTTCAGGTTTCCAGACATTCTTTATCTTATTCCAGTACGATTTCAAAGGCATGCACATGCACCAATTGTAAGGTCAGTCCTGTCCGCTCTGTGATTGCTTAATGTTTCTTTTCTCAGTGTTCCTTTCTCAGTCCTTTGAAATGCCATTCAAATGCTTTATTTAACCTTTGTGTGATGCATAGTTATCCACTCATTGATCTGGTCAGTCCTATTAGAAGGTGTGGTGACCAAGGGATGGACTGAGTTCTATCCAAAGAAGAGATAATGTGGAAAATAGTCTATGGATGAGTATGGGTGCTATTGGAAGCATAGACCACCTCTTAAAAAAAATAGTCAGGCCACTTTTATTTATTCTGAGGAGGTCAGGTATGTAGGGAACATGCAGAGGGTATGGTTTGTACTGTCCATTACCCTATGGATGATAGTGGGTGGCATGACTCTTGGCAATGCCACAGAGCTTGCAAAACTTCTGTAGGATCTCGTTCTCAGAGTTGCACCCTGATCACTGTAAATCTAATACAGAACACTAAAATGGGCAAAACAATTACATACTAACAGACTGGATATAGTAGAAGGCATTTTGGTCACA